GGTTTTCAAAAAAATATTGCTGAAAATGTGGTATTATAACGTACGAATTTAAAAGAGAAAATGATCATTTTGGTTATAAAATGGTGACTTGGGTAATTAGCATCTATATTTTGGAAGCCTCTGATAAAAGGTAAAATAATTTTTGGGTACTATTCTTTTTTAATAATTAATTAAGTTTTAAAAATGAACTGAAAACGAGAACTTTAAATCCAAAAATGATTCATTTAAATTCCAATGAATTGGTAGAAATAGTGAAATATATAACATCAACTGTTGATGTTACAAAGTTTATGTTTATATCTAAAAAAGTTCGCGAAATATTAAAGACTTATACATATAATCCGTTTCCAATTACACCACAAATATTTTTTGATGTTTTTCCACATATTAAAGAAATTAACATTTGGAATAAAGAGGATTGTAATTTTTTTATTGATTATGAAATTTTTGAAGCTTTTCAAAATGTTGAATTTAATTTGCTCTTTCAAGTCGATTTCAAGACAGCTACAGAAATAAGGGAATATCTGGGGAACAATTTTCAATTCAAAAAAGTTTGTTTTACATCAAATGATGTTAAAGAGTTTGGGTATAAGTTTGATCAATTTCAACAGAACATCACAATAACTATTATTAATGATTTGTGTTTTGAATATAGAACATCTCTTGGGGAAATTAATTTACCCAAATCTCTCATTCGTCTTGGGAAAGCCTGTTTTTCTAATTGTATTGGCTTAACCGAGTTATATTTACCACAACACATCATTTGTATTGATAACAATTGTTTCTATAATTGTAGTAATTTGATTTCTATATCAATACCTTCTGAAGTGACTTGTATTGGAGAGTCCTGTTTTGAAAATTGTTCTTCTTTAAAAAGAGTGCAATTTAATAGGTGTTTGTTCTTTATTTTTAAAAAATAAAAAGAAGTCATCAATTTGAATTAATATTATACATTAACTATTAAATTAATTATAACTATAGTATAAATTATTATTATATTAACTATTACTATTTTTATTAATTATTAATAAATATATATATATATATAGTATTGATTTAGTTATATTATAATTATATTATAGTTTCATATTAATTATAATTGTATGATAAAAAAATCAGAGTAAATGAAAGTAATTAAGCTTTTTTCCTTATACAGATTATTAAGAAATATTAGTATTGAAAAACTCTAAAGAAATGGGTAAATATTTTTTATTTATGTTTTAATAGCATTTTTAATATTACTTTTACAGTAAAAAATTACAGATACACAGTTTATGAGTAATAATATCATAATCATATTATAATAATATTTTTTGATTTAATTATAATGGTATAAATAATATGAGTAATATTAATAATAATTAAATTTGATATATACTAAAATAATAATAAACAAATAATAATTTAATAGTATTATAATACACATCACTTGTTATTAATTTAAAATAATAAATAATAATAATTGAACAGACATGTTGCAACAAAATCGATATTTAAATGTGCTTAGAGAACTGAGATGTAACTGTTTTAAAAATTGTCATAAACTTCGTAATATTAATATACCATATAGTGTGCAAATGTTAGAAGATTACTGTTTTGCTAATTGTTCAAAGTTAGATATAATTGAATTGCCAAAAGAACTGATGGAAATTGGCGCATATTGTTTTGCAAATGACATTAGTTTGACTGGAGTAGTAGTTCCATCAAAAACAACTAAAATTGGCGATTCAGCTTTCGAAAGATGTGAACGTCTTTCTTTTTTTAGTGCACCAGAAAATATTGATTTGGGTAATAATATTCTTATGGATTGCAAATCAATCGAAAGTTTAACGCAATACAAGAAATAAACACATTATTTAATTGGTTTTATATTCAAGTTTTAATTTTTTAATGTTTTTGTTTCTAAAAAATATATTTTTATAATCAATACTCACATCTTTATATTTTTATTGTCGTTTAAATTAAAAATTTTTTATTTTGTTTTAATTTAGTGATATCTTCATTTGTTTTAATTTTTTTAATAATTAAAAATAAATATTATTACCATTATTACTATACAAAAATAAAAATTTGTGATAATAAAAAAAGTTTTATTTGTATGTTAAAAATATTTCATTAAATACAGCATAAATGTAATTTAAATTATCAAATTTACATTTTAACAGATAACAATATATAGTCAGTCTTAAACGTTTTCTGCCTTCCAACGTTGTCCGGACATTTTTTGACTATTATAACCAAAATCTTTCGGGAAACAATGCAAAACACATCAAAACATTGTTTTATAATTTACCTTGTTTTAACGATTATTTCTTAATTAATTTGATGACAAAAATATCAATGTAATAATTGTTGGTAGAAGTTGTTTTATTAAAACATCAGTATTAACCTATATGTATATAACAAAATTTGTGACAAATTGGATCTAACTATTGACAAAACGTCAAAAATGTGTTCAACTGAAAATAATCTATGATGTGGATTATATTGAAACATTCTTAAAATGTGGTTATCACACATTGATCGATCATTTAATAAGTTAGCATTAATATAATTGTGTTTGTGTATTTTATTTATTATAAATATTCTTTTGATAAAATTACAAAAATATACAAACAAATACACAAAATACTCCACATTAATTAAATATAAAACAACCCAATCGTTATTTGTGGTAACAAAAGATAATGCAAAATAATACGAATCTAGTCTTATTTTTTATTCAAAAAATAATAACTTGTTAAAATTAAATAAGAAAACATTTACTTTTACATTTATATTTATTAACAAAATTAATACATTATATTTGTTATATAAAAACAAATAAAAAAATTGATTCTTAATTTATTAACCACCCATTTAAATTATTGATACTCATATTTTGTTTTAAATTATCTTTATTATATATGTTCTAAACTTTTTTAAATTTTTGTATAATTTAATCTTACAATTATAAGTTACAACTGTTATCATACTGAGATGGTTTAAACATTGACACCTTCACGTCAAAAAAACTTCAATTTAAATAAATTGCAGAAATAACACTTTTTTACAATTACTCGATTTTATGCGTTTTTTAAACAATGTTACAAAGTTCAAAATTGTTGTTTTGTATTAATTGCTTTAAGTGCCTCTATCTATTTTTTAAATTTTATCGACTATACTATTGGCCAAAAAACAGTTTAATTATTTTTATTTATTTTATTTCATTATTATTTATTATTACCAATTTTGTGTTTGAACAATTGAAAATGTCAATATAATTTCACAAAATCAATTCAAATTTTCTAATTTGGTAACAACATTTTCAATAGTAATTCTGTCTATACTGTTTTGTTTCCAGCAATTATTAATAATTAAATATTGTTCATCACTCATCATGTCACGTTTAGATAGACGACTTCCGGCTATCACAAACTCTGCAATTTTCCATGGAAATTTGAATGAATTTTTATTATAAGCTTCTTTCCATCCAAATACTTCGTACATGGTTATACCAAATGAATAGACATCTGCAGCTTTTTTGTACTTTTCTTGTCTTAACACTTCAGGCGCCATATATACTGGAGTACCAATACCTTTAGTGAATGTCATATTTGTTGTTAAAAGATTCACATTTCTTGAACTTCCGAAGTCTGTTAATTTCGCATTAACGATGTCGTCCATTTCAATTGAAACAATCAAAAAGTTGTCTGGTTTGATGTCTCTGTGTAATATCCCATTTGTGTGTAAATATGATATTCCTCTTGCTCCATCCAACACGAATTTGTTCCTTAGTTTCATATTAACTTCTTCTGCTGTTTTGTTTTTCATCAAGTCTTGTAAACTTCCAAATTGAGCAAATTCGGTGACCATACATATCTTATTTGGTACAAACACAGCTCCATAGAAGTGGACAATATACTCGCTTCTAAATTTATCTAACATCGAGACTTCCTTCTCAAATTCGACAAGTCCATCTTCTTTATTTTCAATTTGTTTCATCTTTTTAATTGCAACGATATTACCTCTGTAGATCCCTTTGTATACAATCCCAAACGAACCCTCACCCAGTTTCTTTGTCTCTTCTATGTCTCGATAATTCAGTTTTGTTGTTGTTTGAGTTTCAACTTCCACTTCAATTTTCACGTCGTCAATTATTCCAGTGGAAATGTCCAGTGCTGTTACAATAACATTCTCGTGTATTATAGAAGAACACAACGGGTTGATAAACACTTCAAATTCACATGCAAAATTTCTTTTCAAAATAACAATTGAAGGCTCTGTTCTGATTTTATAAAAGTCGCATCCATCCATTACACTAAATTGTATTTTAATGGTGTGTTTTGAAGTGTTTCCAATGCAAATCAAATCTCTTGTTTCAGCATCTACAGGTATTAACTCATCAGAATCCAAATCAAACGTCAATTTCTTTTTATTTGCCACTAAGTCGTCTTTTAACTTTGACATTTGGATATTCGAATGACTCATATCGAAGGTACATATATTTCTCTCTTTCTTCTCCAATTTCTTTCTTTGAACAAGTACAATAACAACTATTATTATACTAATAATTAATAATAATAAAACTATTGTGACAGCAACTGGTACACCAATAGCAACACTATAGTTTTTATACCCTTCACAAGACTCTCCCGTATTCGTTGGTTTATTATTGTTTTCACAGCTTGTACACTTTGAGTCTTTTGCTGATGTACAATAATCAATTTGACTATAATAAACACATTTAAAGTTAACTAAAACATAATCACTGGTTACACACTTGGCACAGTTATTAATATTTTGACACGAAATGCAATTTTCTTCACATTCAACACATGTGGAGTCTTCTAAATAATAACCTTCTGAACACTTTAAACACCCAGAACTCGTTTTGTTGATACAATTTGTGAGGCTTTCATAAGGAAGACATAACTTACTTAAACTATTATATAACCTGTAATAAGATTGGTTACATTCAGAACACGATATTCTATCATTGCATAAACTACAAGAAACATCACAACTGATACAATCTGTCCCCTCTTTATAATATCCTTCATTACAAATAGCACACCCTCCACCAGAAGGTAGTGTCATATAACATATTGTATTTAACTCTCCAAGCGACTCACATGTATATTTCGAAGACAAGTAATAACCTTCTTTACATGCAGTACAATAAGTTTAATTATAACAATTTAAACAATTTGAATTGCATTTTGTACATTCACTATTTAATAAATAGTAATTGTTGTTACACCTTTGGCACCCTTTGTTATTTCGATTAACACATCCAATTCCTTCTTCATTTTTTAACTCCTCTTTGAATTTATTATTAAATATATATTGTATTGTTTGTTGATTTTCATATACATAAACTGTTTGCTTTGTTAATTTCATATTATTAAAACCGTATGTTGTAGTTTTATAACTTTCAATGCACAACCCTTCTTTTAGTTCAAAATCATTAAAACATTCTAAACATTTTGTAATAATATAGTTTTGATGTTTGCAGTTTTCAAGATAATTTAATGTTAGAGGAGAACAAAAGTCATATTTTCCTTCATTATTAATAGAGTCTGAAGGGTAATATTTATCATAACATTTCATACAACCAATTCCATTTGCTTTTAAACAGCTCATATCACTCATTGGAATACATTTACCATCTGTTTGCAATAAATAGTTTTCAACACACTTTTTGCAAACACCACCTGTACACAACTCACAATTTTCTGTTGCACACTCAGAACATTTCCCGTTACGAATTTCCATGTGTTTATTGACACATTTTTCACAAGAATTGTTAATATAATTATTGCAGTTGATATCTACAAAACATTCCATTTTATTTATATTGTATGTGTAGTTGGATTGACATTTATAATTATTGATGGTATCGTGGTAATTGGTGCAAACGGAAGCTGTTTCACCACATTTCTGACACA